AACTAGCGTAGATAGAAAGAAATTATTGTCACTCTTTCGCTAACGACTTTCACTGAAATTCTATCGAGTGACTAGAAAAAAATATTTTATTTATACGCGGCTATTATTTTGTAATCTCAAGAGTTAATAAGGTAAACGTGTGTCGTTCTTTTTACTATTTTAAAATCATCTGTCATTTAAAATGCAAATGGCTAATATCGAAAAATTTTGTTTTTGAATTTAGAAAATTAATTTTTCTAACAATCTCGAATTTTCTTATTTGCAGGTTTCACACGACAAATCTCGTTCTTATACTGCCCAAGATGTCCTTCTGAGCAGTAGACGATTTGCTAGCGCCCTCATACGACGTGGTCTCAAACTAGGAGATGTATTTTGCATTTGCACCGCTAATAACGTTGATTATGCGGCCGCGGCATTAGGAGCAATGAATGCAGGAGCAATCATTACTTTGGGAAAACCCATGGATAAAGCGGGTAAATTAGTTTGTTGAGCATCTTTTACAAACCAGTTTGTGTCGTATTTACATTAATTATGGGCTATATATAGGTTAGAAATGTCAATTAATTTTGATTTAATGTTTTAGTTCATTAGACAATTATTTTGTTTAAAATAACCAATCATGTTGATAAGACAGATATTAGTTAGCTAAACTTAATCAAACAGTCAATTGATTGGCTGTAGTAACAAAAGTATTTATAGAACTGTAAAGACACACAATGTGTACTCCAAGTAATTGCGGTTAAATAGCACTTAAGCCTAAAATTTACGATGGGGTCTATAAGTCTCAATGGCGTCTTACACACATTTTCTAAACTATTTCGACACCAAAATGCTTGTGAGTCCATGAATTTGTTTATTTTAGGGTCTCTAATAACGTAGGAGTCACACTCACATAACATTTAAATAAAATGTCATCAGCATACCACTGAATAGCATAAATTATTGCTGAGGTCACCTATGTATGTTACATAACAAATGAGTCATTTCATCCAATATGTTTTTTCAAAAATGGCAAATTACTCAATGATACAATATGTTGACATCACCGGTGGTGAACGGAATAAAAATAGGTTGATGATTCGAGGGTTTAAAGATAAAATATAATATCTAACATATTAGATATAGATAACTAATAAATATATTTAACGGATTAACAAAGAAATTACTGCATAAACATATTTCTGGAATTCCTATAAATGTGAAATTAAACAAATTCTATATGATCTTAAAAACTCACACTTTTTAAAAAAAAACAACGATTATTTTATACACAATTCTATAAAAAGGAGATTCTTTCCATTCTCCAAATTACTAAAATACAATAACTTACCGTACAGGATAAAAAGTGGTAAAAAACATGATGAAACTGAGTTTATGAGATTGTTTTCCAGTTTCATCGGGGGTTTTTA